TTGTTTGTTGTGGAAGTAAAACTAGGTCATCTGCGTAGAAGAGTGAGCTAATTTTAGTGTCATTTAGTGAAACATGGTCTATTGAACTATCCTGTAATACATCATTTAAGTCATTAATATAGATGTTAAAAAGCATAGGGCTGATTACACAGCCTTGTTTTACTCCCTTAGTTGTCTCAAAAACAGAAGAAGTCTTGTTTCCAAATCGTATGCAGGCCTTTGTATTTAAGTACATATATTTAATAATATTATAAATTTTCCCGTCTATACCACTGTTCAGAAGTTTGTAAAATAAACCATTTCTCCAAATAGTATCGAATATGACCATCTGTTATCGCCAACATTTTGCATATCATTGTCAGATACTAGTGGGTGTCAGTATTGACGAGTGGTCATTGAGCATAATCCAATTCACATTAAGAATTTATAGTAACAACGTGTCACGATGACGTCATAACGCATCCTCATCACGAGAGACATGTTTTCGAAAAAAATAAATCGGTTTATGTTACGTGTAATCCTTGTCTAGGTTACCCCATAACGGCGCAGCCGAAGACGTCAACCCAGAAGGAATTCCATATGATACATGAACTCCCGTTCTATCGCAATCAAACACGCCGAACACAAATCCCATAATCCTCTGTAACGAATCCAATGAAACATAGTTTCTGCACGATCTGATCACATAGCTATTGACCACGTGACACCACGCATAATTCTAATGACATCACCACAGACAAAAAAGACGGAACAAATATTTTCAAACAACCACCCTTTTATTTATGACTAATTTATTATATTTTATTACAGAAAAATTAGTTTAACTCAGGTAAGAGACATCATTCAGCTCTTACAATGCCATATAAAATGTAAATACTGATTTCACTGCAAATACCGGAATAAATATAATTATCTTGAATTTATCATTAGAGTCTTTAGATCGTGCAATATAACTTGCGGAATTATGAAAGCATTTTTTAACCAATTAGCAAACTGAAACGGTCTTCATAACGTTACCCATACTGCGTTCTAGAGGGCGTAGTATATGAGTCTATAACTTCAATGTGTTCCTTTTTCAGCCATCGGTTGATCTGTGCAACAATATTAAAACGGGGGAGCGCATGCGTCAGATGGCCATAGCGTGTCATTGTTTACAAACAAGCGTCTCCCAAAGGGCATTTGCGTTTTTAGCATGCATATGTGTTGTTATCGTCGCTTGGGACTCAATTCCCGCGCGTGCGCAGGTGACGACACTCTCGCTTTGAAATCATTGTTTTGAAATCTTATATGTTAACAGGCCGTATATGTTTAAATGCATGTTACACGTTTAATACATATTGCGAGCACGGATTCTTAAAAATTGTTACTTGACCAAGCGCGCTATTATGTGTAATGATTGTACAACATGCGGTAATCTTTGTAAATTTCATAGTATACGCTACGACCTAGACAGAGTGACCACAGATGTGCGCGAATATAAACTAGTAGTTCTCGTTGTTGTAAATATAAAATAACGCCATTCCCTAAAGAGTCATTGGTAAAACTTAATTTATTTGCCTGTCAAACTTTCTGGACCTAAACCCATGCGAAGGTGAAGCTCGCCAATAGCAAAATCGCCAAAATGCGCCCAAATCGCGGGATTTAGGGCTGTGGCGCCCGGGTAGCGCCTCGTCAATCCATTTCAAATGAAAATAACATTCACTTGCGTACATATAAATCTGCTTGATGGGATGACCAGCGTACCTATGGATTGATTTTAATGTAATTGCTAGTTTTGACATTGCACTTTAGGTCATGATTTCTCTAATGGTGGACCATTAGGAACTGTGGGAGGGCCGATGGTGAACAAAATGTTGTTTTTATTTTGTGCCATTTTTTATTTCCATGATGAATTTGTTGTTTTTATAATGTTATCTTGTGTTTTCGCAAACAACAACGCCGACGCCATTATCATAACACTACGACATTATCAGAAAACTACGCCAATATCATCTATGACACACAAAAACGCGGTCCTTGAGTCTACCATTGAGCAAACATTGTCAATAATCGTTTGAAGCCAGACAAGACAAGTGCGTACTACTTTTGTAATTACTTCCGTTAATCTACAAAACAGAAGAGGATGACATCGGCTGATGAAACTATTGTCGTACGAACTAGTTTTTCATGTTGCCGCCAGTGACAGTAATCCTCCACAGTGCTGTATTTACGCAGTGTCAGTTTTCAGCATGAGTGTTCGTCAAAGGATGTGCAACTACTTGTTGTTATTAAACGTGCGTTAATAATCCCACAATCCCACACATTTCGGCAAGAGGTACGGGCGATGCAGTAGACTACAAAGTACAATGCCCTGCAACGGATTTATATGGTGTTCCATTATATTGTCAGCCCCGTGTTATCTTGCCACTATTCAGTTAGACAGCAAATGTTTGTTAAAATGTCCTAATCGCTTACTGTCTTCCAGATAACGGGCTATTTCCTGCACATTTGCAATATAGGTAATATTACGCGAAGTGCGGGCGCCATGCTCACTAGTATCTATTGCGCGCTCTTCCAGACATGTATATTTAATGCATTTACTCAATTAAATTATATTATTTGCCCCGTTTGTACTTCTCACAGTAAAGCACGACTGAGTACTCGCGGCATATATTAAATGGGATACCCTTCAAAGCGCCATCTACGTCGTACCGCGTCGTGTTCGATATGATTCCCATACGATGTATACAACGCGTGTAAAATTGATGTACATTGGTTCGTTTACACAGAACCATCTTAAATTTTCAAGATGAATATTTCCGGCGAAGCACTCGTAGAAAGGGGAATGTCCGAACGGAACAACACCGCCCTTTGCTGCGTCGACACGTCACGTACATGGACCCCTGAAATCTGAGATGGTTGCGCACATAGATATGACGTAATTCTATTAGAAAATATCTCCAAATTATCCGCAACATATTATGATATTTCATACACAAACATTTATGTTGTCAACTGATTGCAGTAGCAGCTGCTGTGAATTGGAAAGAAATGGATGGGATGTACCAACACCTGGAATTGAAAAGCATGATAATACTTATATCTTCAGTTATTGGTGTGCATTCTGTGAATGCCAACTAAGCTGCTTATGACGTCACGAATACATTAAAAGCACGTCATTTATTTAAGTGATGTTTAAGTACGATGTACTATCCTGTCTGCCACAATCTAGACAAGTGATCGCAAGAGAGGAGCATTTCGACGAAAGAGTAAGTATAGTTTTTTTTGTTCGTCTTCATTCATGACTTAGGTAATAATTAATGCTTTCACGGCGTACTTTATACCTCAGTACATTCTGTACGACCAATTATACAACGAGAAGTATTTCCCCACCAAACATATGTCGTGGAGTTGGAAGAAATCACATATCACAAAAGTAACAATGACCGACACATCAAATCAAATCTTCAACAAATCTTCAAACAACAAGTGGGATGAACACGAATTGGGATGAACACGAATCAACAGTATAGTAGATTGTCGGCCCAAATGTATAAATTACACGAAAAAAATCATCGTGGGCGAGTGAGTGGACTGAATTTATTGCCCAGAAAGCCTTGAAAAGAGGTGCGTATATTCAATCCCACTAGCGGCCAACCAAAGACTTTTTTGTCGATGATTAAACGTTTTTTTTCATTTCATTCCGTTTCGAGGAGCTTCCCATCTCATTATTATCGAACACATAAGATAACACAATAGTATACAGATCTCAAACAATAGAAAAAAGATGAAACGAGCTGTTAAATAAACACAGCCCATCACACCCTTGTCCATATATGAATTTGAGACATACGCTATAGTTAGTTAGTTCACAGTCCTTTTATATTTTCAGGTCCCACCAACAAATTATAAAGCGTCACGAGTACTGACTTACTTGGAATGGAGATTAAGAAGACATTTACGTTGGTGATGTGCATGGCATCACTGGTGCACGTATGCTATTCAGGTATGTACTATACATTTACGTTGGCGATGTGCATGGCATCACTGGTGCACGTATGCTATTCAGGTATGTTCCAGACATTTACGATGGTGATGTACATGGCATCACAGGTGCACGTATGCTATTCAGGTATGTTCCAGACATTTACGATGGTGATGTACATGGCATCACAGGTGCACGTATGCTATTCAGGTATGTTCCAGACATTTACGTTGGTGATGTGCATGGCATCACAGGTGCAGTATGTTGTTCAGGTATGTACGAGACATTTACGTTGGTGATGTGCATGGCATCACAGGTGCAGTATGCTGTTCAGGTATGTACGAGACATTTACGTTGGTGATGTGCATGACATCACAGGTGCACGTATGCTGTTCAGGTATGTTCCAGACATTTACGTTGGTGATGTGCATCAAATCTCTATTGTCAATATTACATACTTTCATATTGTCCTTTCACGTCCAAACTGTTTTTATTATTGGGGATAGTACACAGCAAATAAGATTATGTTATTGTTACCTATCTTACCAAACATTTCACATTTAGTATAGAATAACTCTCTTTTCTGTCGGCGACGCTCAAAATACACCGGTTAATGTGTACCTGTTTAAAATAGTATTTTGAAAATCAACTTTTTTCCTGGTATTTTGTTCTATTTAAATTATATTCTAAATTGACAGCCCATGGAATCCAAAAAATTGTTGCTACGGGGTAAGCATTGGAGCATCCAAACGAAATAGAATTTGTACCCCACCCCAAATAGGAAAACAGTACTCATCAAGACGTGGGCGGCAATATTGTATATGATGCATAAGTATTGCTATACATTGCGCTTTATAGTATTATAGAAAGCTCAAAGCTTTAACACTATGAGAAGGTTTTATCATGGGAACGAGGCTGCCATGCCGAAATATTCTATATATCATCGTGTTGTAAACATAGTAGTGTATTAGTAGTTATCACCTTAACATTTTCTGTTGTGTTGTCATAGTAGCATACTAGTAATAAATGGATTGTAAGTGGCATTTGCAATTTGCAATTAAAACAGTGATTTTCAATTAACTTTACCACACAGGTTTGTGCGAGTTAGCGGAAGACACAGTAGCAACACAAAGCAGTACCCTCGAGGATGCATCAGCAGAACGAGCCATCGACGGAAATGACGTCAACATTTATAATATGGGCAGCTGTACTCAAACTTCCGCCGAACACCAACCATGGTGGATGGTGGATTTAGGCAGATCGCAGATAGTACACCATGTTGTTGTAACCAATCGTGGGGACTGTTGCGGTAAGAATACATTAATATAACAATGATATTTTTGATACAATTAGCTAAATTAAAGGACGGTGGTCGTCGCGCCACGCATGCGCGAGATATGGGTCTCATATAAACAAAGATGGCGACTTTGACTGTTGCGCAGATCAACAAATACAAACTGAGAGTTTTAATTAGGGATTTTTAGATGATTGGAAGTATCGAAAGAGTCGCCGTCGGTATAATTAGTGCAATTAGTGAAATATCAGGGGGAAAACTTTCTTCTCCTCTGGGTTCTCCACACGTGTCAGGGGGGAATATCGTCTCGTCTCTCTATTGCGTCCCCTTGAGGTGCGGGATCGGGAAAGTCACTTATTAAGCTTTTACAGTCAAATAGACGCACACAACAAAATACGTTTCAACTCTCGTCTTAGTTGGTCAGTCGAGTGCTCTATAAGACACAGCGCCCTGGGGAAAAGTCCCCAAGACTATCGCAAGGCTGACCCAAGACTCGCCCAAAACTACATCTCAAGACTGCCTCAAGACTGCCCCAAGACTGCGTCTCTCCTCGTGTACTCGCCAAGACCAACTAAAATAACTTTATTCACCTTCAAAACCTTAACCAATTACAAAGCAGTTTAAAGACTCTAGGGCGTAACTTTCAATCATACAGCCAATCACACTAAGTACTGAACACGTCATATCTTTTGATTAATTGTTCACCACATTAGTAACTGGGAATACCAACTGTCAGAAATAGTAGTCCGAATAGCGACGGTTATCTCGTAATTAGTTCCAAATCACTGAGTCGAGTTCCGTCCTGGACCTCGCATGGGCCTAAACGATGACAGACATAACACAGCCATTCGCTAGTAATCAGCTAATTAAGTCGATTAACAGATACACGCAAACAATTTCATCATAGAAAACTCATACTTGTCATTTCCATTAGAAGAGCGCATTGGTTTGTGGGAGAAATCAATGCTTAGTATCAACACAAATATCGCACATGCGCGGCGCAACGACCACCACCCTTTAATCTTTTCACCACCAGTTCTTTCTTTTCATCACAAATTCACAAATTAGTCCTATTTATAGTCTGTACTTTCCTTTAGAAGATTTTGTCTTTTGGCTTCAAAATTAGGGTCTATTTCCAGAAATATTGAAGAATATAAGAAAACAAGTGCAGAAAAATTTGGGCGAAAATATCTGGTTGTGAAAAGATTAAGATTCTGTCACGGTTAATTCACGTATTGAGTCAAATTCGCTGAAATGAAAACAATGTGTTTGTTTGTTATTTTATCAGAGAAACGTCTCGATGGCGCTGTTGTAACCGTTGGCGACACTGCCGATCATCTTGCCAATCCGCAATGTGGAAATCAGGTAGACTTTGAGAAACAGAGCTATGATTCAAAAATAAAATTCCTCTGCGATGAAAACCAGGTTGGAAGATACGTCGGGGTTTACCTAAAGGACCGCCATGGTCCACTCACTTTGTGTGAGGTTGAAGTATACGGTAAATACATTTCTTGTTTGTTAATACTTTGTTATATTGTAGAGCACAGTCACGGTAAATAAAATGCCTTGTCTAATGTTGCAATGACGCTGAAAACACTGACTATTTCTTATTCACTTGCAGGTGGCAAAAAAGTTGGAGGTATAGTACATATTATCACTCTGTTTAACCATGCATGCATGTATATCGTGGTTTATAAATATAATTTCAAAAGTTGAAAATATTATAAATATACTGCGATATAAATGTGGAATATAAGTAAGCAAGATAATAGGGACATTGTGGGTGGGCGTGGTTCAGTTCAGTGCATCGATTGCGGATATTTCCAGAGTTTAATCGGGAATGCACATTGCATCTAATGGGGTGAACCAATTGTATACATCAAACTGCCCGAATGTGAAAATGTAAAACAACCATTAGTTGCTTGTTATTTATTCGACGAAATGTAATGTCACAAGTGAAGATATTGTGGATCTCTGCTGGACGGGGTACTATCTGAGTAATCCAGCAACTTTTAGGCTCGTTCGAAGCTCATAATGTTAATGGCTCGTATATAAAATAAATCGTGCGATTCGATATGTTTCCAATCAAACATTTGCCTGTCGTATGGTGTATAGATCGTTGGTGGGCTGGTTTTGCGTATATTTGACGTGACGCTGAAACTAATTTACATTTAACGACGCCACAGGTTGCCTTTTATGGACAAATTGGATGAATAATAATGACAAATCTGGAAATGTGGACAACGAAACCATCTCGGCGTCCTTAGCTACGTATCCAGATACAATGTGTGAAAATCCTACTGGGATAGAAGCCAGAACGGTTGGAAGTCGCATACCAGCTGAGTCTTCTAATCAAGTATTTGCTGAATATAACCTAGAAGAAGGTTTTCTGTGTCGTAGCGCAGATCAAGCACAGGGCCAGAACTGCTTTGACTACGAAGTACGATACTGCTGCGCAGGGGGTACGTGTTCAAATTGTCATACCACTATATAATTGATTAGTCTTAGCGTTGTTTGAAATTGTCAAACGATAACAATCAGGGTAATTATGCATGTTTAGTGATAACAATGTCATTTACGTTACCCTGGGTAATGTTGATGATCATACCGAGAAGCCAATGTGTCTATATTTTGATATATGCTTTTCCGTAAACACGTTGTCATAGAAATAATGTACTACAACAACTGAGCATGCTCATTGGAATTACATATAGGTGTATATGTACGGGCAAATGACGAACATATAAACACGCACACACAAGATTCGAACTCATGATGGCAGCCACTGTGAACAAGCGCGATTCTATGACTTAAACGGGTGACACAGTCATTGATATCGTTTTGATCTGTTCTCGCGGGATTTCACCATATTGTAGATGGCAAACGACTATACAACCACATTTGTCAATCTGAACGACATATTGACGTCACAGATTCACCCATCACTTGAGGGCGCGATTTATATTTATCTGTGAACATCTCGAAATTCTTGTGACTCCAAATCAAATCCGTCATCGGATTTATTTCCAGTTAGATGCTCTTACCTTAGATTAAATATATAGTGTATCTAAATGATTTGAAGATATTAAGTATATTTTGACTGAGCCGCTTTTCTAGATCAACAATTGTCGCCTGAGTTGCGCCCTCCGCGGTGCTCTAAACCCAACACAAGTAGGGCCTGATGCCGTTTGACTGGCGAGAGCGCCATTCATTGAAAAGTGATAATTCCCATTACAGGTGGAAATAACGCAGTAGTGATTGCAGAGAAGGTTTCCCATAGCGAGGCTGTCGGGAAGTGTGAATCAAAGGGAATGTCGATGTACAAGGTTCATGATAAAACGAGTTTAGCCCACGCACTCTCCACTATCAACCAAAGTGGTATTGCCGCTAATAATTTCTGGATTGATGGGACATTCGGAAAAAATAGACGTATTAACTTCAACGAAGGCACGCATGCATCTTTGGAGGACATGAAACCATTGTTCCATAGGGGTGAACCAAATGGAAGTGGTGATTGCCTGCACTTCTGGTGAGTCGTCCATACATGTGTTTACGACCACGTTGTTCGCTCACAACAGTAAAGTCATACACATATTTTATAATAACCGAATATAATTGTAGATATTTAGAAAAAAATACTTTCTGTAATCACGAAACCCTCAATATGCTTTGCTAATTAAATTGGTATTATTTTCAAAGTGTGGTGGTCGTCGCGCCACGCATGCGCGAGATATGGGTCTCATTTGAACTGAAAGATGGCGACTTTGTTTTTTTGCGCAGACCAACGAGTAAAAATTGAGACGTTACCAAGCATTAATTAGGCAATTTCAATGATGATTGGAAGATATCGAAGAGTCATCGATGGTACTTAATGCATGTTGCGACCAGTTCAAAGCGCATTGAATTGTGGGAAATCAATGTTTATCAACATAAATGTCGCACATGCGCGGCGTGACGACTGCCGCCCTTTAAAAATAATACCAAATTAGTTAGCAAAACATACATCCTGTACATACACTAACGGATACCATTTTTTTATTTCTATAACTCACATACTATTGTGATTTAAACAAATAAAATTCATTCATCTCTTACAGGTATCGATCTGGGTCAGGGTTGTCCTTAGACGATGGTGACTGTGATGTAAATCAATATTATTTGTGTATGCACTAAACGGTGAGTGAATAATTTTATATATCACGATAATTGTATGTAATAAAGCATGGTTATAATGATGTATGAATAAAAAAACTTTATATACTTCAATCAGTCTGGTTTCAGAGAGAAGAGGAGTACAGCTGACGATTTATTTTCAAATCGGTCATTGAATGCTTCTATGTTTCTCGTTATAAAAGGGGCGCGAAATTATTTCACTTTACCTTAAAGCGGGGGAGTCGTCACTTGTACATGCGTCAGATGGCCATAGCGTGTCATTGTTTACAACAAGCATCTACCCACGAGCCTTTGCGTTTTAGCGTGTGTTGTTATCGTCGCTTGGGACTCAATTCCTGCGCGTGCGCAGGTGACGACTCTCCCGCTTTAATGCATTATCATAGGAAACAGTTATTTGAACACGCTTAAAACAGGTTAGCTACAAAGTCCTTTCGAACAAATAAAATGTAATATAATTATGATATAACTAATTGTATTTCAGATGATAAAACGACATTTATTCCCTGAAGTTGACTATAAAGATATGGAATTGCTATATGCATATTAATCACTCTCATTTCCATTCATGGATAAATCGGAAAACTCCCAAAGGGAAGTAGAATCGCTTTAACATATCCTTCATCCCGTACTGTGGTTAGGTAGTTGGTAATATGCTCGTGTAACAGTTATTCGTATTGATGTTTAAATAAAATCGTATTCAATATTCTTGCTTGCAAATAAACGTCATTGTTTCTCTTTGCATGAACGGTGGAATGTGATGGTAAATACTAAGTACCTAATTTGTGTTTCAAAGATAACTTATAGAATAAATAAAATATTATCCTCCGGGTGAAAAGACTGATGTACAATAGGAAGGATACCGGAATTTATCATATTGGTTTCGTCACAAAATTATACTGGCTTAAATTTGTACGGACGAAAAAAGAATGTATAGAAATGATTTGACATGATAGATGATCATCACCTGTCTTTGAATATGTTACAAACTGGTACATGGAATTGGGTTCGACGATGTATGTAAAGGGAAGACAGAGCGGCAACAGACTATGATCTCACTTACTGCACACATGTCAAAGAATTTGTAATCTAAGTACTTTCAAATGCTGCATGGATGACATTGTGTGACTTCTAGTATGGTATCGATAATTGTATGGTAGTGTACAGTATGTATACTGTATTTTTTTTATTCAAGGGTAAAACAAAAACCCTAACATTTATTGATCATTCAACAAGTGGGCAGGTCAATCACCTGGTTCTCACTGCAATATTTTACGACCCCCCCCCCTCCCCCCGAATTCAAAGACAAATTAAAAAAAAAAAACGTAACGTGTTGTGTAATTATACAAACAATTTTCAATTTTTTAATTTGTTTTTTTATTGGCTCACCGTACAATGGTCCGTTTGGGTTAATTTCTTCCAGTTTCAGTATTTTATACGTGGGAAGATTACCATGATTGCATGCACACGTTCAATGAGTTTTTTCATTGCACCGCTACATTAATAACCACTACATTTGTTCTACTGTTTCGCAGACAAAGAACACAGACCGTGAATCATTGGCGTTAACTGAACATGCAGATAGATGGTTGACGAATTTTTAAAATAAACCATTTATTCACACTTATTTGTTTATAATGTTTAAGGTTTTCCTCAGAGCTAGAAACGACAACTGCAGCCAACATATTTTTACAATATTCTAGGAAATAACAAAATGTTATAGTTGATAAGAAAACATTCTCACAAAGTTTAACAATACATTTTAGTAGATGAAATACAATAAAGTAAAATTAAAAGTATTATATTCTTGATCTTCCAAATATTACATATAAATACATAGCTAAGAATATTTCTTTGAATGTAATCCATACTTATACAACGCTGTTGACGATTGTTGGGAATATTTGAACACGTTTATTATAAACAACATAGTATCTACATCTCAAAATATTTTAATTTGTAGATACTTTTCAGAAAACACAGACTTATTACTTATTTAAACTTCGTTCCTATATTTTACGCCAGGAGATTCTG